GTACTCGGAAGATTATAAGACATTGAAGAACTTGAAGAAGACACAGATAAATGGAAACATATATATAGTGTTCGTGGATAGAAAGAATTAACATCACTAAAATGTCCATACTACCCAAAGCAATCTATAGATTCAGCGCAATTCCTATTTAAAATACCAATGGCATTTTTCACAGAACTAGAACAAATAACCCAAAATTTTTTGTGTAACCACAAAAGACTCTGCATAGACATAGCCATCTTGAGACTGAAGAACAAAATGGTGGTATCAACCTGATATTAAGCTGTACTACAAGGCTGTAGTAATCAAATAGCGTTGTATTGACATAAAAACAGGCACATAGATCAATGGACCAGAATAGAGTCCAGAAATAAACCCACGCCTATATAGCCAATTAATATTTGACAAAGGAGACAAGAACATACAGTGGGGTAAAGACAGTCTATTCAGCCTGCGTGGCGTGGCTCAGTGGTTGAGTGTCAACCCATGAACCAGGAGGCCACAGCTCAATTCACAGGTGGGCCACATGCTGGGTTGCGGGCTCAATCCCCAGTAGGGGGGACTACAGGAGGTAGCCGATCAATGACACTCTCTCATCTTTGATGTTTCTCTGTCTCTCTCCCTCTCCCTTCTTCTCTCTGAAATCAATAAAAACATTTTTTTTTTTAAAGAGAGTCTATTCAATAAATAGCATTGGGGAAATTGGACAGATACATGCAAAAAAATGAAACTAGACCACCTTCTTACACCATACAAAAATAAATTCAAAATGGATTAAATAGTTAAATGTAAGACTTGAAACCATAAAATAAAAATGGGCAGAAGACCTGAATAGACACTTCTCCAAAGAGGACATAGAGATGACCAATAAACATGAAAAATACTCGACATCACTAATCTTCAGAGAAATGCAATTTAAAACCACAATGAAATATTACCTCATACCTGTCAGAATGGTTATCATCAATAAATCAACCAACAACAAGTGTTAGTGAGAATGTGGAGAAAAAGGAACCATAGTGCACTGTTGCTGGGAATGCAAATTGGTGCAGCCGTGATGGAAAACAGTATGGAAGTGCCTCAAAAAATTAAAACTGGAACTGCTTTCTGACCCATCGATTTCAGGTATATATCCAAAGAAACCCAATACACTAATTCAAAAAGATAAATGTACCCCTGTATTTATTGCAGCGTTATTTACAATAGCCAAGATATATGGAAGCAACCAAAGTGCCCATCAGTAGATGAATGGATAAAGAAGAATTGGTACATATATACAATGGAATATTACTTGGTCATTAAAAAGAATGAAATCTTACCATTGGCGACAGCATGGTTAGACCTAGAGGGTATTATGCTAAGTGAAATAAATCAGTCAGAGAGAGACAAATACCATATAGCTTCACTTACATGCAGAATCTAAAGATGCACAAATAAAACAGAAACAGACACATATATTCAGAGAACAAACTGATGTCTGCCAGAGGGGAGGGGGTTGGGAAGCTGGGTGAAAAAGGTGAAAGGGTTAAGAAGTACAAATTGGTAGTTAAAAAATAGTTATGAGAGTGTAAATTACAGCATAAGGGAATATAGTCAATAGTATTTTAATAACTGTACAGTGCCAGGTGGGTACTTGAAATATTGGGGGGGAGGGATCACTTTGTAAATTATATGATTGTCTAACCACTGTGCTGTACACCTGAAACAAAGACAAAATTTTTAAAAAGAAAGAAACAGGACATTGAGTGAACAACCTTATGCGAAGACCTGCTATATACGTGGTATTAGGTAATCTTCTCAAAGGAGCAGAAAAGATGAAACAAGAACTTTCAAGTACTTACACACTGCTGTTATTTACAAAAATACCACAAAACACCCTTTATTCTCTTTTTTTTTTTACAAATCCTGCCTCATTTTTTTGTCTCCCTTCTCTTTACTATGCTTTTGAAAATACTGATCCTTTTCTGAGTTCTTCTCAAAGTTGTAGTGTTCAGAAATACAGTTTCCATTAAGCATGGAGGGTAACTTCTCTCTCTTGGTTATTCTGTTGTTTAACTCTTCACACTCTTTACTGTCGAGCTCCTTCACCTGCCCTGCTCCTTTCATCCTTTTGGTTTGGACAACTTGCCATCGCCTTCCTTGAGAATTCTACTCTGAGCTGTGTCTCTGCTGGAGCCTCCTTAGGATATATTCTCTTAGCAGCATGAGCAGTTACTGTTCTTTGTAAATAAATTCCAGTATTTTTTCTACTCTGTGCTCAGTTCTCAGAAGTTAACGGCTTCTGGAAAATAGACCACTGTTTTTTTACCCTCCTGGGATTTAAGTGGGCATATTTTAAAAGTTATGTCTTTGTGGCTCAGTTGGTTGGGCGGCGTCCTGTGCACCAGGAGGTTGCCAGTTGGATTCTGGGTCAAGGACACATGCCCAGGTTGCGGGCTCCATCCCCACTGGGGGCCTGCAGGAGGCAGCCGATCCATGTTGGGCTCTCATATCAATGTTTCTCTCTCCCTTCCTCTCTCTCTAAAAATCAATAAACTATTATTTTAAAAAAATTATATCTTTGTGAAGATTGAAAAAGAAATATGATGTCAGGCTGAAAGGAACTTCTGGAGACCGTCTCTGTATTAATTACCCTTCTACACCTGGCATCCTAGCAGAAGCTTGGTGAAGTGAGGAGACTATGGAGTGGTGGAAGGATAGTAGGTTGTAGAAAAGACAGGTTTAAATTTCTGCTTTATTGTTTTCTAGCTATGTGAACTTGGACAAGTATGTACCTAAGTTCCTTGGTCGATTTCTTCTGTAGAATAGGGAGAATATGACCTGCCTCCCTAGCATGGCAGAGGCACTAACCAGGTGCCCTTGTGCAGAATATAAAAAATGATTCCTACTGTGTGTGTGGTCACAGCCAAGGAAGGTGAGCCAAGCAGGATTTCAGCCCATCTTGCCCCTTAGCTGGGCACCGTGGTGCAACATGTAACCTGAAACCTATCCAACGAAGGTCAGAAGCCTGTCACCTTCCATCATTAGGAGCAAGCCCGGGGAAGGGCTGCTCAGGGGAACAGTAATGGGTCTGCCTGGTTGCTTAGCAGGGTTTTAGCACCTTAAAAAAGTGCCTGCCTTTTTTCCTTCTTCTAACTGATCTTGCTTTCACACTGATTCTTCTGTGTTTTCATCACACCACTAACAATGTCATATTAGCTCAAAGGTGTCACTCTTGGAGTCGTTGCTCAGGGAAGCACTCTCTTCTCCCTGCTGGTCCCGTGCCCCCACCTTCTGCCTACTCCTAGAACTTCAGTAAAATAAAATAAGAATGTGGGCTCTGGGTCCAGGTGGCCTGAGGTAGATGACATTAGCAAGTGGCTTAACTCTGCTGTGTTTTGGTCTCCTCACCTGTGAAATGGGAATAATAGGAGTGCCTACCTCATCAGGTTAAGGTGACAAAATAATTAATACCTTTGACATTGTTAAACAAGGTCAGTTGCATACTAAATACAACAGACGTTTGCTGCCGTCATTACTATAACCACCATCCTTATCTTCATCTCTACGAGCGGTATGGCCCCATCCAGGCCTACAGCCACTGCGAACTGGAAGGACTAGAATCAGTTCTGGACTCAGTCACTTGCTCAGCAAATGCATACTGGTGGTCTTCCATGTATCAGGCCCTCTTCTAAGTATTCGATGCTCCACTCTGTTGACAAACCTTGTACTTCTGTCTTGTGCACTTTGCAATGGATTCCGTTTCTTTCTCTAATCAATATAAAGGACTCTGCTGTTGCAAAATTACTAAACACTGTGGATTTCTAGCCATTTGATACTTTAAGGTACAAATGGACTTTCCCTGCATTATTAATTCCACATATTATTGCTGTCAGTTCCTTGGTCATTACTCCTCCTCTGAACTGTTTGCCTGTTGTTCCCACTTACGTGTGTTTCTCTCTGGCAGTGATTCCCCCAGATTGATTCAAGGTGTATTCTGCCTGATGCTACTACCTAATCTGCATACTACCTAATCTTCACAAAGGACACATTCTCTCTTACCCAAATTGCAATCTTATGGGACTGCTGGGCATTCTTTTTTTTTTTTTTTTAATTTAATTTTATTGATTTCAGAGAGAGGAAGGGAGAGAGAGAGAGATAGAAACATCAATGATGAGAGAGTCATTGATCGACTGCCTCCTGCACGCCCCCCGCCGGGGATCAAGCCCGAAACCCAGGCATGTGCCCTGACCGGGAATCAAGCTGCAATCTCCTGGATCCTAGGCTGATGCTCAAGCGCTGAGCCACCCCGGCCGGGCTGCTGGCTTAATATTCTTTTCAACAAATTGAAGTGTTGGTAGAGGGATAGAAGTTCTCAGTGTAATATTTTGTGTGAAAAGCCAGCAAGTTTAAACATTAATTTAACCAATGAACAGCTGTGTATCCTTTCACCTCTCTCTGAAGAAATGGTTTTTATAAAAGCTTAGGGAATCCCCGCTGTATTAAAGCCATTCACATTCGTCTGTGCGTGTAGTCCAGGATACGGGTAGAAAGAATAAGGAAGTGATCGTGATGGGAATTTCTTCCCTATTTTCTCCTTTCAGTCCTTTTTGTTCTCATACACAAGTGAATCTAATCTTAGGAGCCTGGTTCAAGGTCAAGCCCGATAGAGGGTGTTTCCCAGACCAATGACTGGTTCTCCCAGGTCCTGGTTTGAGGGGGGGGAAAGCAATATTTAAAAAATACATTGCCATTCTTTAAAGATTTATTTTGTTGCGAGTCATTCTGTCTTAACAAAACTGCTGTTTTATTTCCTAACTTAGATGTGATTAACAAGGTCATATATTTCATTTTTCCAACATGTGGATTAAGGATAAAACCTTGCACTGGAATTGAACATTGTATTCTCCAGACAAAGGAAATGGGCATTTATTGGATGTTATTGCTGCTTTCTTTGCACTAATGACATTATGAAAGCTCTTTGAATAATATAATTTGAAAATATTATTTCTGCGTTTTAGGTCATGCAAGACAAGATCATTTGCCTTCCGAAACGGGTTCAGCCGTCTCAGAACCACTCTTCCGTTTTGAATGTCTCTCAAGCAGTTGCCGGAACCACCCCACTGCCTCCACCTAAACCGTCTTCGACCAGCCCGGTCACGGTGGAGATGAAAGGACTGAAGACAGACCTGGACCTGCAGCAGTACAGTTTCATAAACCAGATGTGCTATGAGCGGGCCCTGCACTGGTATGCCAAGTATTTCCCTTACCTTGTTCTCATTCATACCCTGATCTTCATGCTCTGCAGCAACTTTTGGTTCAAATTCCCCGGCTCCAGTTCCAAAATCGAACATTTCATCTCCATCCTGGGGAAGTGTTTCGACTCGCCCTGGACCACACGGGCCTTATCGGAGGTGTCCGGGGAGGACTCGGAAGAGAAAGACAACAGGAAGAACAACCTGAGCAGGTCCAACACCGTGCAGTCTGCCCAGGAAGGCAACCTGGTCAACTCGCAGTCGTTAAAGTCAATCCCGGAGAAGTTCGTGGTTGACAAGTCCACTGCGGGGGCTCTTGATAAGAAAGAGGGGGAGCAAGCGAAGGCCTTATTCGAGAAGGTGAAGAAGTTCAGGCTGCACGTGGAAGAAGGGGATATTCTCTATGCCATGTATGTTCGCCAGACTGTGCTCAAGGTTATCAAATTCCTCATCATCATTGCGTATAACAGTGCCCTGGTCTCCAAGGTCCAGTTTACAGTGGACTGTAACGTTGACATTCAGGACATGACTGGATATAAGAACTTTTCTTGCAATCACACCATGGCCCACTTGTTCTCCAAGCTCTCCTTTTGCTATCTGTGCTTTGTAAGCATCTACGGATTGACGTGCCTCTATACCTTGTACTGGCTCTTCTACCGTTCCCTGAGAGAGTACTCTTTTGAGTATGTCCGGCAGGAGACTGGGATCGATGATATTCCAGATGTGAAAAATGACTTTGCTTTTATGCTTCATATGATAGATCAGTATGACCCTCTGTATTCCAAGAGATTTGCAGTGTTCCTGTCTGAAGTGAGCGAGAACAAATTAAAGCAGCTGAACTTAAATAACGAGTGGACGCCCGATAAGCTGCGGCAGAAGCTGCAGACCAATGCCCACAACCGCCTGGAACTGCCTCTCATTATGCTCTCCGGCCTTCCAGACACCGTTTTCGAGATTACGGAGTTGCAGTCTCTAAAGCTGGAGATCATTAAGAACGTCATGATACCGGCCACCATCGCCCAGCTGGAGAACCTCCAGGAGCTCTCTCTCCACCAGTGCTCGGTCAAAATCCACAGCGCGGCCCTCTCTTTCCTGAAGGAAAACCTCAAGGTCTTGAGCGTCAAGTTTGATGATATGAGGGAGCTGCCCCCCTGGATGTATGGGCTCCGGAATCTGGAGGAGCTCTACCTGGTTGGCTCGCTAAGTCACGATATTTCCAAAAATGTCGCCCTTGAGTCTCTGCGGGATCTCAAAAGCCTTAAAATGCTCTCTATCAAAAGCAACGTTTCCAAAATCCCTCAGGCCGTGGTGGACGTGTCCAGCCATCTCCAGAAGATGTGCATCCATAACGATGGCACCAAGCTGGTGATGCTCAACAACCTGAAGAAGATGACCAACCTCACAGAGCTGGAGCTGGTCCACTGTGACCTGGAGCGCATCCCGCACGCCGTGTTCAGCCTGCTCAGCCTCCAGGAACTGGACCTCAAGGAAAACAATCTGAAATCTATAGAAGAAATCGTTAGCTTCCAGCACCTGCGGAAGCTGACAGTGTTAAAACTGTGGCATAACAGCATCACCTACATCCCCGAGCATATAAAGAAACTCACCAGCCTAGAGCGTCTGTCCTTCAGCCACAACAAAATCGAGGTGCTGCCTTCCCACCTCTTCCTATGCAACAAAATCCGATACTTGGACCTGTCCTACAATGACATTCGTTTTATCCCGCCTGAAATCGGAGTTCTACAAAGTTTACAGTATTTTTCCATCACTTGTAACAAAGTGGAGAACCTTCCAGATGAACTCTACTTCTGCAAGAAACTTAAAACTCTGAAGATCGGGAAAAACAGCCTATCAGTACTTTCACCAAAAATTGGAAATTTACAGTTTCTCTCCTACTTAGATGTTAAAGGCAATCACTTTGAAATCCTCCCTCCGGAGCTGGGCGACTGCCGAGCTCTGAAGAGAGCTGGTTTAGTTGTGGAAGATGCTCTGTTTGAAACTCTGCCTTCTGATGTCCGGGAGCAAATGAAAACAGAATAACTTATTTTTGTTTCAAGTTTGACTGAAACTTGCTTCTACCAAATACAGTATAAATAATTAGGTAGTCTTAATGCCTTTCCTATTTTATGGTTTTGTTTTTTTTCTTTTCACACAAAACAAAATGTACACAAAGATTGAGTAAGGAGTATGTATTTTTTAATAAAATTTTAATTGTATTTTTTCAATATTAATATTTTAAAGTTTTATTTGTCCTGGACCCTAATATACCTATTCCTGTTTTCTACTAACAGAAACTCATGGTTCCATCTGTTGTTTTGTTTTGTTTTGCTGTTGTTGTTGTTTTCCAGTTAATTCTTGTGAAAGGGAGAGAATTTTAAGTTGCATGCTTTTGGTATTTTTTTAAATAGATGAAGATACTTTGCCAAGGTCATGGTTAGCTCGTTTACACCTGTGCAGTTCCTTGCTCCTGTTGTCATTGTGTGTATACCAAGGAATCTGTGCTGTTATTTTACTACCAGCTGCCTTCTCCGTTGGCCAAGCCTGTTATTCTATAGAGCACTCTTTTCTGGAGTTTAAATTCACATAAGTGCATTGTCGCAGACTATTATTTTTAAATTATCCCCCATCTCCAAGAGAACCCTAAGTTATGTTATTTCATATACTTGACAGTTAAAGGTATCCTTAGATAAGGATTTTTAAGCAAGTGAAGATAGTAATCTTTCATAGTTGGCATGCTAGAATTGGTCATTTATAATTTAATCAATTTCCACTTTTACCAACGTTTAAAAATATTCAAAAACTAAAAACGGAGGCTCCCCCCTTTAATCTCAATATAGCTACATAGTACTGGTTAGCAACCTTAGAGAAGCTAGATTTATTTTAATTAAAACAGGTAATTAAATTTTAAAATCATAGAATTAGAAGCCTGGTTTTTGAGTAATTTAATCATCTTTGATATCTTGATATGTAGATACATCAAATGGAAAAATATTTCACTACTAAAGCACTCTGCTAAAGAGCTGGTGCACGCCAGCCAGGCCCACTGGTTCCTCCAGGCAGTATGGCAGTGGAATCTATTCAAATCCTGCCTGTTGCACAAAATAATCCACATATTTATATATATTATATATTTAATCAATTTCCCTCAAGCCTGCCCTTGCTGTGAATGCTAGTGATGCAAGCACAGGAACCCGTTCTGCTCTCTTTGGCTTAAAACATGTATCTCATGTAGATTGGTTCTGTTACTGTTTCCCGAAATGTGAATAAATTGCTAATTGGATGTCACCTAGCAACAATTTTGCCTGATGATCAATAGAACTCTCATGTCTCTTTGCACTTTAAAATCCAACATGGTATATGTAGGTCTTAGGCAAAATTTTTCACTAACTGTTAAGCTGTGTGGAACAGGAAAATGAAAACACTATTTGTGCCCTCAGTCCAGGACCAGTACTATTGATCATGGAATTCTGTTTATTTACCAAATCACCTTGACCATTTTCCAAGCCCTGGTCTCCTCTAAGAAAATTCTGTGACCTAACAATGAGAGAAAGTAGGAAGATGATTTGGGGTTTCAAAATGCTGCCTTTAAAATTCACTCCTTGATCCTGGTGACTTTGCTCAGTGCTACTGTGAGTCATGAAACACAACTGCAGGGACTACTCAGCAGATACATGGACCTCAGTCCTTTTCTTAATGTTACAGTACATCATGGGGTGAAGAATTTGCAAAAGAGATGCTTTTCATTTATTTGATAATCTAATCAGGTAGACCAAAGTGCTTCACTATTTCTGCTCTATGTTAAAGGGTTAGAATGGTGATTTTATATAGCTGATTTATTTCTACCTGTAATTGAAACAATATGCTTAAAATAGTAACTGGTTATATTTCTTGTAGGATAAAATATTCAATTCCAGAATATTGGTAGGATCCTGATTATAAACAATGTGCTGTATTTAGAGACATAGACCTGTTTTCAACAAACAAAAAACCTGAAAGATTGTCCATAGCTGAGCGTGACAAAAATACCCTGTTGAAAGGCAAACTTCAAGAGCTACTGTTAAAACACTGGGTGCACTATTTTTCTGTAAACAATTTATGGTTATTTTCTGTATCACCCTTCAAAGGGGATCTATTCAGGTTAAAAATCATGTTTATGCTAAAGCCTTTATCTGATATTAACTCAGAATCTCATATGGGTTCATAACTCAAGTAAGTAATAATTATTTTATCACTTATAACAATTTGCTCGAAATTCCAAAAGAATTTGATTTGCTTTCTTAATGATTTCGCAAGTTGACCCTTTGCCTAAGTTCTGAATAACATTCAATAAATTAGTGTAGTTCCATAACTTTATGTTTTCACTAAAAAGGAAAATTCACAGATGTTTCTATTAGATTTTATAAAAATTCAAAATTCTCAAACTTTATCTCGAATCGAAATTTTTGACTCTTGCCCTTTTTAATATTGTAGATTTTTGTTCACATTCTTAAATTTAAAAAAAGCACTCAATTACTATTTAGTCTTTAAATGGGAAACTCAGGTAACTAAACTGCTGACTTTTCTAAAGTCCTTTAACAGATCAACTTCATGTAAAAGGGATGTTTACCTACTCTTTTTTCCATATTTTACAAGTGCTCTTGCTAAAACAGAACAGCTAGCTCTATTTCTCCAACCTCTAGGATTCATGGGAAACTGCTTATGTAAATATAAAAGCACCATATGTACTCATAACTCCTATGGGTGCTTGAAGCCCATAACGGTACTCTTTTGGGTCTGTTTTAATGGTTAAGTCTAGAACAGTCTGGCTGATGGTCTGGTTGAAACAGATCATATAAGTATATCCCAATGGAACTCACCTAAGAAGACCACACCTCAGAAAACTAGTTATGTGTTGAGTTTTCCTTTTGTTCTGTTTTTAACAGCACTTTTAATATAAAGGTTCTTGATACAATGAAACCTGTTATTTACAATTGTAAAACGTTTTAAATTGTTCACCCACCTTTTTCCCTGCCACACATTCCCCATATTGCTATTGTAATGAGTTCTAACAATTTACATGGCATCCTGCTTCCAGAAGGGCATGGAAAATATGTCCACAGTGGGTGTTTTGTTCATTTAGAGGTGGCTCCTTACCTTTCTCTCAAGCCATCTTTGTAGAGAGGGGCTTAAACAACCTGGATCTTCCTTGGGTTACTTGGGATGAAGAAAGTTTAAGCTCTTGCAATATGATCTCTGATATTAAAAAAGAGAAAAAATCTTTACATCTCTTGTCATTTCCGCCAGGAGGAGTTGTGCCGTTACCTATTTTCCTAATCCTACTGTAAGAAAAGTTCATTTTAAAGTAGTTCATTTTACTCTGTAATTTCATGCCAAATACCTGATCAATAGTAACGGCATACTTACTTGAACAGTGAACATTCATGATCCATCTTTATGCAAACTGTCAGCAGGACTTAGTAGTGAATAGGTAAAATTTGGTATAATTTCAATTTATGTTTAGACTAAATTGAGATTCAATTTGCATTCTGTTAATTCTGAATGTGATCATGTTACTCAGACCACATTTGGGTAGGATCTCAGTAACTCAGGGTAGGGTTCCGTACTAACCTTAGGTTAGCAAACAGATTAGCGAAACAACACAGTTGTTAGTGGGGGGATGCCTCAGAGGTCTAAGATTTTAGACCTTTCCTTGAGTATTCAGACACATTGTAAGAAAACCTGTTACTGATTTTTCAGATTTAGGCCTCAGTGACATGTTTCTAATACAATTTCAAACTAGGGATCCACTCTTATTTCATTTTCCCAAGCCATTCACTGATACAGGTAACATCCCTAAGCTAATTTTGGGGAGAGGGAAGAGGGTCTGCTCTCACCCAAAGGAAGTTATTTTTCATTCAGAAGATCTTGAAAAGGGGAACATAATTTTGAACTTAATTTCTTGGCCATATTAAATAGTCCCTATGCATGGTTTTTAATGTGGTATAAATTTGCTGTCCGCTAAATACCGTTCCCCCTCCCACCCGATTCTGCCTTTTTAATGAATATTTTTGCTGGGTTTGAAATCCAAGGCCTTATGTGCCCACTCAGTTTTCCCTCTTGTTTCCTCTTGCTGTCTGTCTGTGTTCAGATTGTGTCAAATGCTGGCAAAACCTCTAAGACTATCAAAAAATGCTTGAAAGTTGATTTGTCATCGCGCAAATTCATGGTAAAACGTCTTAATGTTATTTGGCTATGTAGTACATAGGAACAGAAAGTAACTTAAATAAAGTCATTTTTGTAATTTAAAATTGGAATTTGTCCCTTTCTTACTCCGTTGGAGAGCTCCTGTTTTCTTTGCATTTGTGTTGTATTTTTGCATGTTCCGTTACTGAGCCTCCCTGAACTCCAGGAAATGGGCTGCATGCATTCTCTCACTTTGTGTTTAGCCAGTTTCTGCAATTGTGACTAATTATTTCCTTCCTTAATTCACTGCACCGCGTCTACCCAAGGTGCCCCTGGAGTTTCATTTGGGTAATTAGTGCCTTAATACGGAATCTGGAGTGCAATTTCTGTACATTTGCCAGGTCAGATTGTCCAGTTGCTGTCCAGCCAGCCCAGCTTTCAGTAAATTCCTGGTGGTGATGACTGTGGTTACTTAAAGGAATCAGAATGGTTCCACACAGCGAGGAGGACTCCCCTGGTGAACCACATACACCCCAGGCTTAGGGAAGCCTTTTATAAGAAATCTTGTACCATTTATGCATCAAAATTGGAGATTGGTAACTTTTGAAGCTAAATTGTGACTTTACGTATTTTTTTACAGTCACGGCTCAGTTATTTCACTGATAATCAGCTGATAGTCCTTTGAAGAAGGACTGTGGGGATGCAGAGGATTGAGCGTGGTGAAAGAGGCCATGTGAGTGTGTATTGGACACTGCGAAGGCAGTGTGCGGGCTCTCAGACCACAACTGAGGAATGCAAAAGGCAGGCACATCTGGTAATTTCAGTGCAACCTGCACGTAAGATTCTATCCACTGCTGCATCTTTCAGTCCTTTCATTTATATAGAATATTGAAATAAACACTGAAATTAAATAAATTGATTCAGTTATTTATTATTATTGGCTAGGAAGATATAAGTATTTTGGTTTGGGTGGAAAAGTACACGAAGAGAGAAGTCCCTAAAGCCAGTTTTAGACTCAGAGGGGTACATAGCCATAGCACAGGGCCTGCGTATTTCCGAAGTTAAGTTTGAATGTCGCGTCCTAAATATCCAAGTAGGGAAAAGGGAAAAGCTGTGTATAAGCTGCATTATTTTTTGTGTCAATCTTTGAAGACAGGTTATATTTTAGGTATCATACTTAAACATATTTGAACAAAGCAAGGTGTAAAAATGATCCAGATGCCGTAAATGATAGAATATTTTTGGATATTTTGCATAAAAGACAGCATTAGGCAAAGATGTTAATACCAAACATCTCAGTAGACTGGCCATTCTGATTATTGTAATTCATGGATTCTTCGGTTATAAAATTTGGGAACAAGTAGAAGATGGGCTTTCTCTTTAGTTTATTTCTTCAATCCTTTAAAGAATTAATTTTGTTTCAACTTAGGTTGCATCTAGACATCACCATTAAAAAAGTTTAGTTGAATTCTTATTAGTAGTCTCAGGCAACATAGATCTTGGGAGGAGTAACACAAAAGAAGCAACATGTAAGTTTTGCATTTTATATCTTTTCCATAGATGTTCTAAAAAGAATCAACTTCCCAGTAGTGATTTTGGTGTTGAAAAAAAGTATAACATTTCTTCAGTCTGATACGCAAAGATCCTTGGGATTCCCTTATAATTTCGCATAGACTGTGGAGTAATTTTGTAAAATATTACTTTAAGTAACATTTGGACAGTTGTGAACATCTCAGGTTAATTTACTCAATAATTCAAACCAGTGCAGAAACATGAAGGCATACTCACTGTAGGCTTGAAGAATAAATGTCCACAAGTTTATGAAATAGTTGATGAGTTCCATTTGTTCCTATTGACTTATATGTAGAAATTATAATTCTTAGTCATTGAAATTTGCTTTATGAAAAATACTTTGGAGTGTAGCCAATCTCAGCAAAAACCTGAAAGGTCACATACATCAATGATCTCTAAGTGATGTTAAAGAAAAAAAAATTATTTTGACATTGGTTAAAATGGCAAGAAAGACTTTTTTCAGGATTTTTTCTTAACTCTCCTCAGGTTCTAGCCTCCGGTGGTGTGACTCAGGTTTTCTGGGTAGTCGCTTTCTGAGCCTTAACAATATCAGCATGATAACAGATTCAGTTGTTCCATGTGTCCAGAAACAAAGACAGGATGTTGACAGCCTTTAGTTTATGAGAAAGTGTTTAAAAAAAGTTCATGCTTGAAACTGAAAACTTGAGATTGAGCTTCAGTCAGAACTGCTCAGTCTAACCATTTAGCTACATAAATATTTTGTTAAATCCAAGTAATCTGTGTCAAATGGGAAATGGGAAGAATGCCACAGGAATTATATACCTGATTTATATTACATAAAACTTTTGTTTATTGAGGGAGCAAGGAAATGGAAGTGTGGGAGAAGAAAAGTAATGTTTCTTCTACCCTTCTAAATTCTTCTGGCTGGACTAACAATCAAATGAACGTGAGACAGATTAACAGAAGAAAATGACCAAATTTATTAACGTATGTACATACAGGGGTTCCATAGATTATGAGACCCGGGACACAGTAGGCGGTTGACACAGGCCCGTCTGGACTAAGGAAGCGGGGGCAGGAATCTGGAATTTCCAAGGGAAAGCAGGCAGGTTGCAGGTAGGTGAGAGAGAGCAAACATGGTAAACAAATTCTTCCTTGACCAACTAGAAAGAATGGGACACAGAGGGGAATCTAACAAACAGATTTTGCTTGGTTTCTTCCTGTCTGCCATGTTTAATCCATATGTGCTAGGTGACTGCCGAGGCTCCCTTCCCAGAGGAGGTTTTCCTATTGGAATTTCATAGGTGGGTGAGGGGGAGGTACACACACACACACACACACACACACACACACACTCTCTTTGAGTTTGTTGGGCTTCAGTTGTTTTCAGCTTGAAATAATCTACATGCCACAGTGGTACTTTCTGGGGAAACTAGGTCTGGACCCCTACACTGAGCAGGGAGCCTGCTGATAAAGGGTGCGCCATACACTTCCTAAAATCCAGGCTGAGTTGCCCTTTAAATTCTACCAACAACAATGTTAAGACAATCAAATCTCAGTATGGCAAACCAGCTAGACAATTATTTTCAAATAGCTTTCCCTAACTCACAAAATATAAAACTGCTAAAATATAAAAATAAATAAAAGCACTCTTAGAAACTTCTGGCGACTATTGAGTGCTTTAATTATAAATCTGATCAAGAACTTGCATCAAAAATGTTTGAAAGTTGATTCCAAAACCTTAGTTAAATGCTGATAACATCATTCTTAATAGCACTAACTATATCATAGTAAACAATTGTAAGACAGATTTGCATTCTGGGTGGTTTTAAAATGTTTAGGATGCCCAGCCGGGCGTGGCTCAGCCGTTGAGTGTTGACCTAGGATCCGGCAGATCGAGGTTTGATTCCCGGTCAGGACACATTCCCGGGTTGCGGGCTCGATCCCCAATGACTCTCTCATCATGGGTGTTTCTATCTCTCCCTCTCCTTTCCTCTCTCTGAAATCAATAAAGATATATATTTTAAAAATTTTTAATATTTAGGATCACAAACATTTGTTTCTTATGTGTACAGAGAGGAAAAAAAATTACACAACATTTTATCTGGGACTCTATAATGCTCCAAATAGGCCAGGCAATAAAGGAGTTATACTTTATCTGTTTTATTTGAATTGATTAGACAAGAACCCATAGAGTATTAGATAGTCATAGAAATACCCCCTTCTATCTTCAGTTCTGCCCTTTCAAATAGAATTTTGGCTCTTATATTAAGATCCCTAAGACTTTTTAAAGAATATTAAGATTTCTTTTGAATTTCTCTAACACTTTCTACCTGCCTATGTATTTAGGGCACATATCACTTGTACTATGGTTATTTTAGGACTTATCATTATTTCTCCTTCCAGAGTTGGAGGCCCAATAAAGTGCAGAAACCAACACTCATTTATCTTTGTTTCTCTAAAGTGTTTCCCATTGTGACTTATACAAAATGGGCCCTGAAAAAATACTGCTGAATCAATCCAGAGATCTAACTCTATGAACTGAGTGTCTTGGAACTGTGAGTTTGAACACTCATCTCTGTTCAAACTGGTTTCTGGATATATTATTTTTCTAAGGCTGCAATAACAATGTGACATACACTGGGTGGCTTACAAACAGTAAGCCTTGATCTGTTCTAGATCAAGGTGTCAGTGGGGTTGATTCATTCTGAGGGCCGTGAGGGAGAATCTGTTCCAGGACTCTCTCCTGTCTTTCGGTGGTTGGTTGGCAATCCTTGGCAGTCCTTGGCTTGTAGATGCATCACCCCAGATCTCTGTCTTCGTGTTGATACAGCATTCTCCCTGTGTATGTCTAGCTCTATGTCCAAACTTCCCGTTTTATAAGTACACAGCCATATTGGAGTAGGGCCCACCCTAATGACTTCATCTTGACTTGATAATCTGCAGACCTTATCTCCAAATAAGGTTACATTCACAGGTTCTAGGGCTTAGTACTTCAACATCTTTGTTGGACACAGTTCAATTCATAACACTGGATAAGATGCTTCTCTTTTTTGATGAAGATATTACATTCCAGATTTATTAGAAACAGAATTTTTAGCCCTAGAATATTGGCTAGTCCAGAGGTTTTCAAATAGTTTTCCAAGAAGCTCTAACTTTCCAACAAAGTATCTCAGGAGGACTCAGGGACACTCCTGAATTCATATCTGTTCCAATTACAATTGTCATGTAACAAACCACCTCAAAACTTAGTAGGGTAAAACTATTTTATTATGCTCTCAGATTCTGTGGATAAGGAATTTAGACAGGACACAGCAAAAAATTTATCATCTCTGCTCCACAATGCCTGGGACCTCAGTTGGGAAGATTCGATGGCTAGAGCTGGAATCATCTAGAGACATCTTTACTCCTACGTCTGGTATTTGATTTTGGCTGTGTGCTGGATCCTCAGCTGGGCATCTCCATACAGCCTGGCTTTCTAACAGCATGGTGGTTTCAAGAGAGAGATAAAGAGATCTTACATGATAATTTACAGCTTTGAAGCAACCATTCCTGCAGACAGAGAAGGTGCTGCGTCACCTTTTGACCTCGC